GGGTGGAGGAAGCTCAGGACGCAGGATTCAAGGTCACAGGTGAGTTATCTCCCTGAGTGTCCGTGACGAGGATGAGAGGAGTCGAGGTGGAAACGAAGGCAGTGAGTCAGGAGGTGAAGGGTTAGTGAAGGGGAGGGAAGGACAAGAAGTCTGTGGATGGCAGGGGGTCTTGTCAGTGGCGAGAGTTTCAAGGGAGCTGATCGGTTTGAAGGAGTCAAACCAGTTGAAAGTGCGGGTGGGGATCAGAGATCACCACTGACTTCTGGTCGCTGAGATAGGTGGGGTTTGACATAAAACGTCTCCACTGAGAGGTCTGTACGAGGAAGGCCCCGGGGCAGCCGGGCTGTTGCTAATGCGAGGAGGTGGACTTCCTGTCAGAGAGGCTAGGGCAGGGGTTCTCAGCCCAGGGCCATTTTGCCACACAGGGGACGTTTGGCATTGTCTGGACGCACATCGGGCTGTTAGAACCAGAAGAGTTGTGGCAGGGCTGCGGGCATCCCGGGCGTCTGGGTCGGGGTGCAGCGCACTGGACTGGCCCGGGGGGGAGCTGTGGCTGAGGAGCCCTGGTGTGTGGGGGGGGTGTGCTCCTCAGGGAACGGAAGCTCTGGGGTTGCGCTCCCCCTCTAGCCACTTCTGATAGTTTTTGGCTCGATATACAAACACACATTTATTTGCTCCCGAACACACATGCGCGTGCGCGCCAAGTCCTGTCTCCCTTGTTTTCTGTCATATACAATGTTGAGTTTCAGAAAAGAACTCACTAGCTCTCTGGCTGTTTTCCGGCCTGCTGTAAGGTGTGTAACATGGGTGCGCTGTCGTGATAATTAACCACCTGAGGGTTGAGGGATGTGGTTTCCTAGGTGTTCAGGTCCAGTCAGGTTTGCAGGCAAACTTAAGTTCTGTAGGGAAAAAAGTCTTTCATTTCTCCTTAGAAAAGTCCTGGGAGACCAACAAGTGTTCTCTGGTGGCCTGCAGGAGTGGAGAGAACAGCTCCTTCGCCCTGCTCTGACGTTCTACACGTCACAGGTAGATTTGGAGTTTAGTTTTGTTTTAAACTGGGAGGAGGCACGAAAATTGCACGGCTCCTACCCTGCACAGAACTGAGCATTTACACTTTTGAAATTTCGACATTGTGACTGATGCACAGACCTGGGCCTGGCTTTGCCCAGCCGCAAGCTAAGAACGCTTTTTACATTTTTTGAGTTGTTAAAACAAAGCAAAACAAAGCCAAAGAAGAACACGCAGCAGACACCTTGCATGGCTCGTAAAGGGTAAAATATTTACGATTTGGCCCTGTACAGAGAGAGTCTGCTGACCATTTACACTTCCGACCATGGTGCGAATGAATCTTCGTCAGAGAATCATGGCATTGTATTCATTCAGAAATCCTAAAAATATGTTTTGATACTTCGTATGTGCAAGTGGCTGGATTTGCAGGATGTGTGCTGGCTGTCAGAGAGGTGGTTTTAGTAAGGAAGGCAGATGCTAAATTAATAATTGCACAAATAATGGACTAAAATAATTAATTACACAAAGGGGCTTTGAAGGGTGCCATGAGAGTGTGGAAGGGGGTCATTGGAGGCTTTTCTGGATGAGTGACTTTAAGTCTGAGGACTGACTGCTGGCGGGAGGGCGGGCGGGAGCAGGGCTGAGGCTGAGCGACCAGCAGGCGGCCCTGGACGGACCCGGGAGACTTATTTCTTTTACTGTAGGCGATTAATGCAGAAGCCAGCTAAATAACTTCCCGAAGGATGATAAGTCAGAGTGAGAAGCTTCAGAAATGCAGCTCTCAGCTCTGGGTGAGGTTGGAATCAGTTGGTGACCAGTGAGGTGCTGATGCCTGAGTCCCGCTCCCCTTCATCCTGCTCTCCCCGGTGAGACTGAGGGACAGCCAGGACCGGGACCGAGAACCGTGGGACAGGTGGGCCCCGGCCCTAAGCCGGTGTCCTCCTCTCCTTGTGCCTCTCTTTTCTTGTCTCTTTTAGGGAAATAATAAAAAACCTGCTGTGTAGACCTACCCTAGAGTTATGTTTTTGAGGTGCATATGAGAAAAATTTGAGTTTCTGTCATTTTCCTCTTCGGGGTGAGTTTTTCTTCTGGCCAAACCCCTCCCCTTCTCAGAGGCTGGTGCCTGCCTCCCTGTTACCTCATTCCTCCCCCTCCCCATTGCCACACGCCAGACTGAATGTCAGCCACTGACATTTCTTAGCCCAAATGGTGGCTACTGACTTCTTCCTCAGAGAGCCATGGGCAGGGTTAACACAGAGCAGGAGGAGGGTTTCCAATGAAATTTGAAAGCTCGGGCGCTTCTGCAGATGGAAGAAGACGCAGGGCCCATAACGGGGCCCATCCTTCTTTGGGGCAGGAGTTGTTTTGGAGGATGGGGGAGTAAACCAGAGCTCCCCTGTCCCGTGTGGTGTCCCAGGCCTGACTGCAGAGTTTTCTCTGCGCAAGTCCGTAGCCTTGGCAACCGTGCTCCGTAGGCTGTTTGCTGGCCTCTCTCCTCAGGGAAGTTCTGAGCCAGGGGACACACCAGTGCTCCCGCCTAATGACCGTGTCTCACCTGCAGGGCGAACTCTGTTGGAGAAGCTGTTCAGCCAGCAGGAGAACGGGCCTCCAGAAGAAGCAGAGAAGTTTTGCTCACGGATCATTGCCATGGGTCTCCTCCTTCCTTTCAGTGACTGCTTCAGGGAACCGTGCGGGCAGAGTGCCCAGTCCAGCTCAGCTCCGTTTGATGTAAGTAGGAGACTCCACAGAACTCACTGGCTCGAAGGCCGACCGCAGTGGGAACAGCAGCTGTGCTGTGTGTGTGTCGGCCCCAGTCACCCCCTAATTTAAAAGCCCACGTGTGATGCAGGCCTCCCTCCCCTCTGCCGCTCAGCTTGTTTCCCTTCTCACTAGGGTTTTCTTACCTATAATTGCCAAACGCCCTTTTCTTAACAGATGGCCCCTCTTGACAGTTTGCTAGCCTGATGGTTTTAAGGTAGTTCTGGGTCAGTATTTCTGACTTTGCTGGTCACAGACATGCCTTCAAAAACAGCTCCACAGGGCAAGAGCTTTGTTCCCCATGGACGGGGGTTTTCCCAGGGCCCGGAATGCGATCTCAGTGTGTTCATAGCTCATCCGTGTACTACTGGTGACGTGAAGCAGCGCTGTCTGCTTTCCCCCCGGCTGCCTTTCACCAAGAGGGTTAATACTGCCGAACAGTAATTCCAAAGCCATTTCATAATTCATAATGAATAACAGAGCAGCTGGATTGTCGTTTTCAGGCCGGAGTATTGCTGACCTTTCTCAGGTGTGTGGTACGTGTGTGACCTTGGGGGTTGTGATGAGTGTGCCTCTAAACCCACGTGGGTAAGAATTCTCACCTAGGGCGTTCTCCTGAGGAAACTGGCTCACTCGTGTGGCGCCCGGTGTCTGGGAGGCAGAGCGCTGGCTCTCACCCGCGCGGGTTAGTTACGGTTACTCAGGGCTTCTGACGCCAGTCTCCTCTCCGTGGACCCGCTGTTGAACAAGACGGGCGATAATGTGCGTTTTGGAAGACAATGGGAATGACCCTGGCTGGGATCAGGAAGTGACAGGAAGTAATAAAATGTATGTGCCTGCTTTCCTTCTTCCTCTTCTTTCCTCGTCACAACTGTGGTCTCCTTTCAGTATTAGGGAAATAAGTCACATAAAATATTGTGAGATCTTTTTGATACTTCCCACCTGAAAGGAGATTCCTCAGGACGTACTGGGACTTGTGAAGCCTTCTTCTTAAGACTGATCGAGTGGCCTGTCCATTTATGACGTGGCAGCTAATCACTGCTCGGTAGATCTTTTTCTTCTATGAGAAGAATTAACAATGAATTTTTTTTCTCCCTTTTCCTTTTGTGAGAGGTGTGTGTTATTAGCAGAGAGAGAACCCAGGGACTGTGGTGGGCTGAAAGCTTTATGGAGCTGTATTCTAGGGGATTTATCTGTTTGCAACTAGGAAGTAAAATAAATATGGTACAGAGAAAGGCAAACACTAGCCATGTCTAACACTTGCTTTGGGGGGGGGCCAGTTGATAAATAAGTTAATATACTTACTTACTTTTGGAGGAGGTACTGAGGATTGAGCCCAGGACCTTGTGCATGCTAAGCATGTACTTTCCCATTTGAGCTATACCCTCCCCCTAACAGTTGCTTTTTGATTAAAACTGTGCCCAAGTTGACTGCATTTTCCTCCCTTAGAGCTCAAATAGTCTTTGGGGGACAGTATAGCTCAAGTGGCAAAGCACATGCTTAGCATGCATTGAGGTTCTGGGTTCAGTCCCCAGTACCGCCTCTAAAAATTAATACATAAACCTAATTACTCCCCCCCCAAAAAAAATTTAAAAAAAAGAAGAGAAATAGTCTTATAGTAAATAAATGTGGACTTGGAATAAACTGAAAAGAATAGAATAATCCTATTCCTCCGTTTTTAAATTGCTGAATCAAGAAACCGTCTGTTTCTTGCCCCCCACCTCACTCCATTCTTATGTTAGACTGGTGACCCCTCCCACCTGTCATTTTGGACGGCGCCTGGGGGTGGCATAGAGGCTGAAAAGCAAAACACATACAGTCCTTTACGCTGGTGTGAAGCGATTTCCTCAGAACAGGGAGTTTCTTTCCCCGGCTTTGTGACTGACTGCATTTTCTCCTTACTGTATTTGTTGGCTCTGTTCTTCCTCTCTACCAAATTCAAACTTAATCCAACCTAATCCAAAACAAATATGAAATTAAAGGTGCTCTAGTAACAGACGTTATTTCGTACACTTAAGTAGCATTTCAGCACAGAAATGTGCATTTACGGTACGCGTAGTCAAGAATTTTCTCCAAAGCCCAGCAGAGGTAACAGCACAGGGAGTTATGTAAACTGAGGTGTGTGTGGGGCCGCGGGGAGGAAGGGACTTTTCTGTAGGGAGAGAAGTTTCTGGTAATTAGCCCCTCTGCTGGTTTCCAGAAAATCGCTGCTGGGAGGACTTATGACCAACAGTTCTCTCGAGGACAGTGGCCCTTTGAGACAGAACACCCCGTGGGAAGAAGCTCACACCGGCACTCTCCCCACCCCCAGCTTTGCTCCCTTCCCTGAGAACAAACCTCCCCCTCCCCTCCCTCCTTCATCTCTGTCTACACTCAGAATTACAGCACTAGAGTTTTGATCTTGAGACCTTACTCATGCGGTTTAGCCTACTTCAGTCAACCCTTTTGATTTAGGTCCATGGAATTGTATACATTTTTAGGGCCTAAGATTGTGCTTTAGAAATGCTATAGAAAAGATGAAAGGATTTCACATTTTCTCTCACATTTTGACTTGGTTAAAATCTCAAGAATACTGAAAGGCAAAGAGCTTTGAGTGATAATGTTAATTCATTCACAGATGTTTACTGAATTCATTCAACATGCCAGGCAGTGTTGTAGGCTCCAGAGATACATTAATGAGCAAGAGAAATATGATTTCTGTTCTTCTGAAATCTATATCCTCTTCCCAGTGGGTCGAGACAGATAAAAAACAAAAACAAAAACAGATGAAAGCATAGATAATGAACTTCCATCAGATTCTAATAAGCACTATGAAGGAAAGAAACCCAAGTACTGTGATCAGTGAATGGGAGTTGGAGGGGTGAATGTGGAGGGAAGCAAGTCTCACGTGTAATGTGAGGAGCCATGAGGTCAGGTCTGAGGGAAGGTCGTTCTGGGAAGCCCAGGGCAGGTGTGCAGGGCCCAGGGAGCGCAGGCAGGCCTGATCTAAGCAGAGCATAGCCTGCAGGCCTGTGTAGCTGCCGTTTTGGGAGATGAGGACAGAAAGGCCCCAGGAGACATGGCAGGTTGCTATGGAAGGAAAATGGATGTCTTTTTTCAAGTGGGAGATTTTGGAAGGTTTTCTGCGGGATAAGAACATATTTTTTCCATACTGCATGTGGATCTCATGGCCTGGTCTCTGGGCAGCATTGTGTAGGGGCAGAAGCAGACGCTGGAGCACCAGAGGGGACTGATGCAGGAGTTGAGCGAGATGTGGTGGTGGAGGAGACAGAGGGTCAGTGGGTGTGGGATGGATTCTGGAGGCAGAGCTGCTGGTTCTTCTGGTGGGTCTCGAATGGAGGCAATGGAAAAAGGAAATCAGGGATGGCCCCTTGGTTCTGATTTTAAGTGGCTGGGTGGATGGTGGTGCCATTTACTGAGATGGAGAAGACAAGTCAGTTTTAGGAGGAAAATATTATAAGGACAGAAGTATATGGTGCTCTGTATTTTCTTGAATAAAATTCTGTTTACTGAGAAAACTAATACCTAGCATATTACCTGACAAATGTTAGCTTTTGCTTTTTGCTGAGTGGAATGTTCACTTTATCTGCTGATCAAAATTAGGGCCATGACACTTAAAATTACTTCAGCCATCAAAAGGGCTGATAGCCCTTTTCGTAGCCCTGCTTTCAGAGATGAGAAAGATTGTGCTCCTCTAATGGCCGAGTAGCATTGCCCATGAACCTCATATTTGCCTTTTGCTTTGTTGGTTTGTTTTTGTTGTATGTTTCAAACAAAATTCTAAGCTAGAGCAGTTCTGAAGATAGCGGGGAACAACATATGAATAGTGCTCCTGCTTGCAGCCTGCTAGGTCCTATCGTTGAGTATGAGATCACGGTATGTTTTGTGGTTTGGGGAAAGACTTTTTCCTTTTGAAACCTGGTCTAGTCATCTCTCGCAAGTGTGAGGAAAAATCTCTCCTGAAATATTTACCATGGTTTTTAAATCTTTAGAAATAACAAAACATTCACTGTTATGATGCACCACGTAATTTGAAGTTTTAGGCCCTGCAACCTGTGAAGAAGGCATTACCAGTCCTCAACCTACTGCCCATCTCAGACCCCGGCTCATTGCCTGTTAGGTGTGGATGGAGGTCATTTTGCAAGGACAAGTCCAGTACGTGATCCCTTAAGAATCCTTTTTCTTAGAATGCCTTTATTCGTATCGAGAGCCCTTTTTCTGGGTCATATTCATCAGCAGCTGTTTTCAGCAAACCACTACATTATCTTACATAATTGTTGATTATCCATTAGCAAGCTCTTCTAGGATTTCTTCAATCATAACTATGTCAGATTTCACATCATCTCCTTATATCACAAAAAATAAAGCAAGTTTACTTGGCCCGAGGATTTTGGCAGGTCATATCTACTTAATCCTTTAGAATTGATCTTAATGTCTTTCTAGTAGAATATTCCTGGATGCTGGGCTTTTTTGGGTTTGGCAGATGTGCTGATTTTGCTGTATATGTAGTGGTCCCCATGCTGCCTACGTGGGCAGGGGCTCCTTGGTGTGTATGTAAGCGGGCAGAGGTTTGGATGAGTGTATTAGTGAGGCTAAAATTAAAGAGAAGGAAGACATGAAAATTCAGGCCAAAAAGAAATAAAAGAAACATGATCTTGAACCTGTTGAAAGATGTCAATGTCATTAATCAATATCGACCTCAGACACAACCAGGAAATGAGTGGATTGCACTCTACTCACCGTCCTCAAGCGCGAGGGTTGGAGACTTAAGTGACCAACGGAAATGACCGTTTGTATTTGTGCTCTTTTTTTTTCACAGCAGGAAGAATACTCAGATGCTCTTTAGTCAAGCCTACACAAGTATTTTCCTGAGAAGCAATAAAAGCCACGACACGTCTTTCGGCTCTAAGAGAATGTGTGTTGTGTGTGTGTGTAAAGATGTACTTTTACTTTTGAAACATTATGTACAG